GTAGGGAAAAAAGGTGTTCTGGACCCTTAATAACCTGTACTTATATAAAGACTGCACCTTCATGGCATGGGGCATTTTCTGGAGGAGGAGGAGGAGGGTGCAACTGCCCCTCTGTGTGTTATTGTATGCTGTCATACCCTGCTAAATATAACACCATGGGCAATGGAAAGGGAACTACAACACTTCCGTGTATCTTAATATTTTAAACCTTTTCTGATGCTTTGCAATACCTTTTAGGATTGGTAGAACTTAACTAAAGTGTATGGCCCAATGAATTTATGTACAGAATGTCTCATTAAATAAAATCAGACTCATAGATGTCAAAGACCTAAGTGAACATCCTTGCCTGATCAGAAACTCCCATTGACATTAGTGGTGCAAGGAGTCGTACTGAAAGGAAAGGATGCTTTGCTTTTACTATGCATTGCCCTTAATTCCATGTGTTTCTTGTTAATCCTCTTCTCAACATTCAAAATCAAGTCAGGAGTCATTTGGAAGAGGCCAAATGACTTCATTAAATTCTACTTTAGCACAATAATGCGTGTTTTAGCAGTGCAAGTGAAGATGTAGATAAATGTGCTTTGTTAATGTAAAGCACCACAAGCTGTATTTTGTTATTGATGCTATGCAATTTTGCCAATGGTAAAGTATGGTCTATATGCTTTTCCCACTTGGTAGTTATTACTGTGGTTTAATCCAAAATTTAAATAAGTTCTCAAAATTCACTTCTCTTTGTAGGAAGAAAGATATCTGCAGTGATGCTGTAGAGTACATTTAAGTGCAAAATTTGGTAATTTCTGGAAAGATGAGAAATACATTAATGATTCACTCAGCTACTACTTTTATTTTAATTTTATTTTAATTGGCATGTTTCAATCCATGACATGCTATGGATTTATTTATATTTGGAAGATACTGAGTCCTATTCTGAATTTAAGTGAGTGAAATGCTTATCAACTGCATTGGAGCTGTGCCCATTTTCAGTAGCAGGAAAAATGGCTCAGTGAACGCAAATTACACAGAGAAAATCTCTTAAAAAGTGTGCTTTTCCAGCCTGCTGAAGGACAGCAGACGTATTTTATTACAAATGAAAGCAGTGCCGTATTTTACAGGTCAGGCATACGAGGCCAAATTCAGGCTGGCTGTTACGTGCTAGAAAATCTGAAATTGAAGAAGAACTGGCAGGGAATTTTGGCTTTCATATCCAGTTCTCATTCTGGGTTCCCACAGAGAATCACTCATCGTGTACTGGGACTAGAACCCTGGTGTAAACTGGGCTCATTAGTTAAATTTACCCAATTAACTGAGACATATAATTAGCAGGTCGTTCCCCAGCCTGCTCTCTGGGAAATAAGCCCCTATAGAAGGTGACTTAATTCTTTGGTATCTGTCAAATTATGATATCTGGTGGTGGATTCCTTTAGGACCTTTTAGTTCAGGATTTCCAGAGGTTTACAACCATTTTACAAATAAACATCAAATGCCACCTCTCTTTGGAGGGAGAATTATTTCCCACAGAAGGGATGCCCAGGTATGCAGAATAACAGCTTCCATTAATTGATGCTCTTGTATTTTGCAGGTTAAAATCTAGGAGGATGGTAATCCACCTTTCTCTCCACTAGTTTCTGTATGAAATTGCAATTCTGATTTTTTTTCTTTTCCCTGGGGCTTTATTTATTGATATTTGTTGAAGTGCTGAAAGACAGGTGGGCAAGAGGCTGAGGACCTTCACCCGGTGCACGATAACTGCAGGAGACCACAGCTGTCTTTAAAACCAACCACAGAAGCAGCACAAATACTCAGGGGATTTCCATGTCTCCTCAATGCTGCTTCTCCTTGAAGGTAAGTGGAAACAGCATTGTTCCTAAATACAGCTTCAGTAATGTAGAACTGAAATATGAGTCTAGATTTTCTCTCATTATTCTTTGTTAACTTTTGTTACATCTCACATTGGTAATTCTTGAAATGTCAACTCTATATGGTTGAGCAATGGCCGGAGCAAGCGAACAGCCGGTGTGTCTTGCAAATCTGGCAATGGAAAACAGAAGTGTGTAGTAACTACAGATGTGGAATGAGAACAAAAAGTAGCAACACAGCGTATTAAGAAATGATATTATTGCACAAAACAAGAACCTTTTTGAGGAGCACCAAGGACCCCTAACCAGTAGGTCAGAGCTCACACGTCAGCAATGCTATGTGGGTGCGTTCCTATCACAGGAACTCTGATTTTGGGAAACCTACATGGGGCTTCCTACAGCTGGGCATGGTAGGACCTGAGAGTGTGCAGAAAATCCTCATGCAAAAGCATGAGAAATGAGTTAGAGCCCCACCATGTGTCCTGATGTAAAGTGAAGAACTTCAGCTTCCACAACTAAAACCCCACATTCACAGCAAAGCCAGGGTTTCCAGTCCCATGTAAACAGCACAGAGAAGTTAGAGCCAGGAGCCATCTTTGGGGTTAATTCAACTGCAGTACCACTGCCAAAATAAACGTGAAATCCAGCACTGCTGATGGACAGAGCAAACAGAGCTTCACACAGTTCAGAGCTAGTGTTGTATATGTTCTCGGCGGCTTCCTGATGATGACAGAGTGTGGGTAAAGAGAATGTTGTCTTCTTTTAATTTATTCTTCTTTACTCATTTCGTATCAATATTGAATTTGCTCAATGTTGTTTTGTTCAAACTAGATTTTTTATTTTTTTTTAACAAAGGCCCTAATGTTAAATTAAAAATGCATTCTTGCCTGGGCTCTGTGGGGTGCATGTGAGTTAAGCAGCACACCAACCCATCCAGCTCACTGCAACACCAACTTAGTATCTCAATATATTCATGGCTTATGATATACTGAGAAAATCCCATGCTATGGTTTCGAATTTTATGGGGTTTTCCATTTCCTGCTGTCCAGAAAGGCTGTGAGTGCCACCCTTTCCAGCAAGAGAAGTGTGATGGCCTTCATCTGGGTTGGTTTTAGTTTCAGTTCTGATTAAATCTTGCTAAACTGCTTGTCTGCTTTACTTTTTTGTGTGTTTGCTCGCAGGCTTGCATATGAATGGAAATACGTGCTCTTCTGTCCCAGCTTCTTCAGAAAGACCAGTGTTTTATGTACAGTCTTCACTGGGCGTATGAAAATGTAATGGAAAATGCAGGCAACGAGCAGGAGAAGCTGACAAAGAAGGT